CACTCATGCAGCTGAATTTCATAGAATCTTTTAAATAGAAGATAAGTATGTTGGCTTAGTGGTGTGAAATACACTGAATCTGATAATTACGATTTGATGTCAAGATAATATCTATAATAATTGTAAGTTTTAGTTTCCTAAGCAGAGTACCACAAACTGGGTGCTTTCAAATAACAGAAATATATTGTCTTATAGGTGGGGAGACTTGAAGTCTTGTCTCAGAAGTCCTGTGCAGCTGCATAATTCCATTCTCTGGCTTGCCATCTAAGATGTTCTCCCAGTGTGTTCCGTCCTCCCATGTTCATATTCTGACAAGGACAGCAGTTACATGGGATTAGAGGCCCACTCTACTCCAGTAGGACCTCATCTTAATTACATTTGCAATAACCCAATTTCCAAAACAAGGTCATATTCTGAGTACTGGGGGTTAGGAGTTCAACATATCTTTTTTTAGAGGGGGACACAATACCATCCATATCAGCAAATTATCTTTGTAAACCAATAAATTAAGGCTATAACAAATAAACAGTAATACCTGAGAGTTTTTTCTTCTCATGTTTGAGAGAATCTACATGGATTCTGATAGAGAAAAACTTGAATGAACTGACCTTAGTTCAGTCAGTTCTCCAACTCACTAAAAAATTTTATTTGCACTAGTCTTTTTCTTTTTTAGTCATAGATAGACACAATATCTTTATTTTTTAAAAATTTATTTTTATGTGGTGCTGAGGATCGAACCTAGTGCCTCACATGTGTGAGGCAAGCACTCTACTACTGAGCCGCAACCCCAGCCCTGCACTAGTCTTTTTAAAAGAGTAATTATTACATAGAAATAATCAGGAATCATGAGTATAACTTTTTATTAAATGAAGTATGTACAAAACAATATTTATAAATATGTGTACAGGCAGAAGAATTCTAATAAATACCCATGGCCCCACAATACAGTTTTAACAAAATAAAATACAATTATTCTTCTTGAATTTTTAATTATCTAAAAATTTTTAAAGCATTTTTCACTTAAGATATATTTTCAGCATGTTGTTTTTAATGACAAAATTAATATGTTGGTATATGATGTTTATTATAAAAATATATAATTCAAAATTATGTGGGGTAAAAATTAAAGTCTTCCATGTCAGTGATATCATCTATGTGTACATAAATCTTTGGAATAGGGAGAGGGAGTTCCATATTATGTCTTCATCCTAGTTTACATAATCAATCATGTGTTTCCATTTTCCTGCTATTATGAATAATTCTGCAGTGAACAACCTTCTACAAATAACATGATCACTTCTGCAAATATATAAGGTAAACTCCTAAAGGTAGAAATGATGAATAAAAAGCATGAAAATCCCTTTTAAATTCATATGAAATTGAGTTGGATTCCTAGTATGTGAAATGAAAATGAATTTGAGTTGGATTCCTGGTATGTGAAATGAAAATGGTTCTAAGTAAAATAATTGCTGTAACAGTCTCCAGGAAATCAACAAGTCAACACTTGAACCCATATTTTAGTATTCTAGTCTACAACTCATTTGATTATATTCCATAGAATTATGGACTCTCATCACAAAAGCAATCAGGGAAAGTCCCACAATGCTAGGCCACCAAATGAAATTTCCTGGGGTAAGAACATCAGTATGTATGATGATTTTCTTTTAATCCCTAAACAGATATTCCACTTCAATAGATGAGGGGGAAAATATGACAAAATCCAAGACCCTTTCATGATAAAAACTCTAAGTAAACAGAGAAGTGAACTTCAACCTGGTAAAGGGAATTTACAAAACATCCACAGCTAACATCATACCTAATGGTGAAAGACTAAAAGTTTCCCCCTAAGATCAAGACCAATACAAGGATGTGCATTGTCTACTCCTATTCAACAATGTACTGGAGGTTCTAGCCAGGGCAATTAGACAAGAAAATGAAATTAAAGCTTTCAGACCTGTGTTCAGAATACATACAGAACCCTTTAAACTCAATAATAACAAAAAAAAAGTGATCAAAGGATCTGAGTAGCCCTTTCTCAAAAAAAAAAAAAGAAAAAAAGAGAAACCCGAATGTTCAACAATTAAATAAAAATTGCTCAACATTCACAGTGAAATGCAAATAAAAAATATAATACAACACTCTCACTTACTTGGATGGCTAAAAATAAAAACAAAGCAGAAAATAACAAGTATTGGCAAAGATGTGCAGAAATTTGAGCCATCAAACATGATGGTGGGAATGAAAATGGTACAGCCCATTTGGGATTTTGCCTGAAAGTTCCTTAAAAAGTTAAACATTGTTACCTTTTGGTCCAGCCCTCTACTCTTAGGTATATACACCCAAGAGAAATGAAAATGTACATTCAAAAAAAAATTGTTCATGACTGCATTATTTATAATTACCAAAAGGTAGAAACAACCTCAATATTCATTAAGTGGTGAATCAATAACAATACATAGAATATTAATACTATGAAATATTATTTGGCCAAAGAAAGGAATGAAGTACAGAGCTGATAGATGTTACAACATGGATGAACCTTGACAACATCATTCTAAATGAAAGAAGTTAGTCTCAAAAACCTCATATTGCATTTACATGTCACATCCAAAACAGGCAATTCCATCCAGAAAGACAATATATAAGTAGGTGCTTAGGGTTGTGAGGAATGGGGTGACTGAGGTGACAGCTACAGGAAATTTCTTTTGGGGGTAATGAAAATGTTCTAAAAATGATTAGTGATTGTTGTAAAAGTGTGAATATAGTAAAAAAGTCACCGGGTGTAATATACTAAAAAACCACAAATGGTACATCTTAATATACAAATTAAATATTAATAAAGCTGTTATTAAAAAAGGGAAAAAAATAAACACTATCAACCAGGAAGTTTTAACTCCCATATCTGCTCCTGACTAGCTATGTAACTTTATGAGTATTACTTAACTTTCTTACACCTAGTTTCCCTGCAAATAAATGGCGATAATAATATTTTGTCTCACAACGTTGTTATAAAGATTAAGAGAGACAAATGTATAAGAATAGTTGTGCCATTTACTATACCCTAAGTTATTCTTGAAATCATTGCACAAATACCTTACCTCCCATTACTCCATCATTATAAATGACAGGGATCGAAGTCTCTGAAGTTCTTTCCTAGGAGGAGTTTCAACTACACTGCGCTCAAGACATTTTAGAAATTAGGTGCCGTGTTTATTTTTAATTTTTCAGTCTTGTCTGTTTTTCTCCCCACTCGTGGCGTGTATAGGAATTAGTTTTTAAAAAATTTTCCTCTTAATAAATATAGTCCAATTAGTAATTTGCACTTAGAAACAAAAGGAGAAATTGTTCAGGGGAAGGGGAACAAAGAATGAATTCAAAACGGAGCCAGTCATATAAGTCACTTTATAGTCATATACAAACCGATAAGAATTGTAACGCTTTTGAAAATAAACAAAACTCATCTTTTGTAGGGGACAAAACAATAACATTGGGAATAGGACCTTGGTCTGACTTCTGAATCTCATTAATTTTCCTTTTCTCCTAAAATGAGAATGAGCTGTAAGAATTAAGTTACACTCCTTAAAGTGGAAATAATATTACTTCACAAGAACACAGTGAGACATACAAACGCTTAAATTTGGACCATATAAACCTGCTCGAAACTTCAGGTGATTTTCCGGCTTTAGTTTCTTGTTTTATAAACCAACGTCTTCCATCCAGTTTGGCCCTTGAGGCTTCCCGTTGGTTTTGTCTTAGAACGCATGCGCAGAAAAAAAAAAAGTTGACCTTTGAGCTGGGCCCTTCGGCTCCTTTAACCATGGCGGCTTGCGGCGTGGGGCGCTTGACCTGCCTGTCTCTGTGTGCCCAAAGAAACGCTCGATTCCAGCGCCCTGCTTTTAGGCCTCTCAGTTCTCCAGGAACTGTAGCCGCAGCCTTCAGGAGAGAAGAGCTGCCATCTGGGAGCGCGGAGACAGGTAATGGTTCTGTGTCGTCGGTTTGCCATACCTCTGTCCCACAGCGAGCGAAGAAAGGGAAGAGACCGGGGATCACGGAGAACCCCTTGGCGTGTGGAAATGGCCGTGGATCCTTTGGCATCGTTAAGGCTGTGTCCCGCCCTCCTTTCATTTCACGAGGGAGACCTAAGGCTGCCGCCTTTGCTGAAATTGCTTGTGTGACGTTTTGAGGGGGCTGCTCCTGTGTACAGTAATGAAATTGCTTAAGCCTCAGTGAAGTTCAGGCAGGAGTACAGTTTGTTAGCCAATAATAATATGCTTCCTATCAATTATTTGCTTCATTATTCACGGAAGCATCTGATTTTGATTTCCATAAGATGTTGCTGAAGACCGAATGTAGTGAAGTCTAGTGAATTACCAGGATTTCCGGATCCCTGAAATAGGGCTCTATTGATAAAAATTTTGGCTGTTTAGTTTTGGGCTGTTTTGAGCAAACTCTGTTTTGTAACACACTTTCATTCGCTGTTGTGGGTGGGGCGAGTGTTCTAAATTTGTATATGCTTCTTTGTGTATTGAGAAGTCCATTCTTATTCACCAGCTCTTGTGGCCCAAGAGCTGGTGTATGCTATTTCTAATTCTTAAAACAATGTTGCTACAAATATATGCTTGTCTTCATTTTACAGATACAGGAAGAGGCTTAAAGAACTAAATAGCTTTTGCATGGTTATACAATTTAGATCTTGAGTCAAGTTGCCAAAGAAGTATTTATTTTTACCATTTCTTGGAACTAACGTTTTAAGAGATGAAGTTATTTGTAACGGCAGTTCAAAAGCATACTAAACAAGTAGAATATTGTTCTTTATAAGTTATTGTCTTCATAAGACTGTGAAAGACTCATGGACAGGGTGCAAATACTCATTGAAATATTGATTGGATTCTATTTAATAGAAGCTGTTTCCATAGAAAATTTTTCATTAGACCTGCAAATTTGAGTAAGGATTTTGCCAAAAATGCTACTGTAATTTAATATTTGTATAGTGCTTTAAGTTTGAAAGTATTTTTATGTGCTCTTTGAGATCTTCCATACCTGTGGACTAGCTATGGAAGAAATTATTTACTACATTTTATAATTGAAAAGACAGACTAGTTCAGCTGGCTTGTTCAGTCCTTCTCCATTTACATATGGCACAGATTAAAGTAAAACCCACTTTTGATTTCAGAGCTTTCCTCTTCACTTAGTGGCTAGAGAATAAGAGTGTTATTCAGAATTCTTTTGAATGCAGGTGGCAAAACTTAACTCAAGTTAACTCATTAATTCCCATGGTCCTAGATGTGGGATACCTGTAAAACTTTAAATTGAGAGCAAATATACCATCATGGTAACTTTTGAAATAAAGGCTGTACTTTTAGAGTTCTGTTATTTTGAAAAATAGGTGTTTGAAATGCATATATGTATACATGTATATATGTTTATATGTAAGGGATGCCTAAGCTGGAGATTATGATTTCCAGCCTATTTTAATGCACCTGTGTCAACTTCATTGACATTCACAGAATTGAAAGCTTGGGACTTAATGGGTTAATGGGTTAAGTAGAATAGAGAAGATATACCAACCCAGGTAATCCAGCTCCAGAAACACGTTTTTATTGCTTTAAGGTCTGTTTGATTAATGTAGTCAGTGTGAGCCTCATCAGGTATTATTTGGTGGCCTTGTAATTTCAGATTCTTCTGCATGGGGTTTTTATGGTGGGGATGATAATCGGCAACTCTGTTCACATGCTTGCAGCTTTCTCCAAAAGAAAAAGTAACCTTTTACCTGAATTTGACAAATTCCATGAAAGAGCTTTCCATTGATGATATGCCCACCCTTTGGACCAAAAGGAAGTTTCCAGAAATTGCCTGGTAATCTTGGCCTGGCTCATGGGGTGGGAGTAAGTTTGATAGGTAGGATAATTGTATTGACACTTCTACAACTACACAGTGGGAATGTGTGTGTGTTTTTGGTTTTGTTTTTGTTTTAAACAAGGGTGTGCTGTTATCAGAACAGGTAGGGATGCACACCAGGCAGCCAAACAACAGCTAAATTCTATAGAAGCCTGTGCAGTTTATTAGATGTTTGTTTTTATGAAACTTTTTTGTTGTTGTTAAATCTGTAATGATACCTGCTGTGACTATCTGAAAGTTCTTAGGAGTTTCAGAAGAGAACATATATGTGATTGACTGGGAAACTATCAAGTGCTGCTCAATGAGAAGATGTCGTAGTGTATTTGAAGGCATTGTTTAGCTTTTAGGTTCTCATTAGTTTTGTTTTTTTTTTTGTTTTTTTGTTTTTTTCTTCTTTCCCCAGGCTATAAATCCTCACTTTATGTATAGTAATTCTCTATTAGTTTCTAGTCTTTCTGCTACTTCTGAGTACTCCCTGGCTTATTAATATTCATATCCATTATATCTAGAATGGAATATATTTTCTATTTGTGTCCTGACCAGTAAATAGCAAAGGAATGCTATTATCTCTTGGATTAAATGTCTTAAAAAACTACTGCTAGTTAATTTATATAGTGTCTTTGTTTTAATATGCTTTGAAAATGTCTGGTTAGTTATCATTAGGGTAAGAGGTTCTGAGGAACATTTATACTTTTACATTATAAACTTTTGTACTATTTGACTTTACTTTTATAGTAAGCAGGTGAGCATCTGTCTAGACTCAGTGAAATCAGAGGCAAGAGTGTATACAAGAATGTATTACAACTGAAAAAGTATCAAGATGGACTAAGCAGAGTCTGTAACAAGAAGAGAAGGAAATAGGGACCGGTAGGAAGGAGGACAATCAGTAGACTGAAATCAGATTGAATAAGAATATAGATGTCTGTGTCCTCAACATGGAAAAAGATGTTCTTCTATATTGTTAAATAAATGTTTATTTATTTAACTGCGAGACCTCTAGTGTTAAATATATATTTAAATTGTACAATTACATTCCTTCAAAGAAGCTGAGGTAAGGTAATACAGAGATGTAACAGTCAGAAATCTTTACAGACCTGAGAAAAATTTGGAGGATGAATGGGATTTGCCAGATATAAAATGAGAAGATGTGCATTTTAACAGAGGGAGAAGACAAGAGAGTCCATAGTATGTGACAGTATCATGTGTTTACACTGCTGTGTGTGAAAAGTGCAAAGGGAAGAATAGTAGAAACTGACATTGAAGAGGGAAGATGGGACAAAGTGTGAGGAACATTATAACTGTGCTGTGGAATTTGGACTTGATCTTAAAGGTAATGAAGAAACATTTAAAGGATTTTAAACAGGCAAATTAAAGAATTAAGGCTTCTATAAAAATATATTTTCAGAGGTTGATGGACCTTTATTTTATTCATTTATTTGTATCGAAACCGGTGCCTCATACATGCTCGACAAGTGCTCTATCGCTGAGCCACAACTCCAACCCAGAATTAAGGCTTTTTAAAAAACAATTTTATAAAGATTATGTTGGCAGCAGCATGAAGAATCACTTGAGAAAGATAAAGCTAGAATGACTGAGAACAAATTCGGATTCAAGCTGTTGTGACAATACAGGACTGAAATAAGAGTTTAGCATTAAAGAATTGATATTGGGAATTGAGAGAAAGGCTTATATTCAAAGGATGTATTTTCAGCATCTAGTACACTAGGAATATCAAATACTTTGTGTTTGATCGCATGTTAAAAATTATGATCAGGTCAGGGACAAAAATTTTCTGATTTGCCATTAGAGATTTGCCTTTAGCTAATAACTCACGATTCAGCCAGCTTCTACTGTCGATAACCCATATTTATCTGTCTTGTCCATGAAGATGTCTTGGAGTTTGCTGAAATTCAATGATAGTGTAGGTGGAATATTTCCTTGATCCATCAGTTTTGTGGATGTTTGAAAGGAAATGAGGCTAAAAACTCCTTCTGATTTCCATATAGCTAAAAGAAGCACTTTAAGCTACTTAACTGGAAGTTAAATATTTTGGAGGCAAAATGAGTTGTTAAACAAGAAAATTAGTGTTTGGCTTTAATGTTTTCTTAGAATTTAGTGATTTCTTTTTTCTTTATATATAGTTCATTTGTTGATCTTCCCTTTGTGGCCAGTGGATGATTAATATTTATTTCTTGACTATCACAGTTCTTGTCTTCATCCTCTGTTCGTAAAACTCCTTGTCTGTAGAAAGGTACATAAATGGGTGGTGGAGAGAGAAAATGCCCCAAATCCTTAGTGAAATTATTATGAGTTCTTCTTGGGCAGCAACTAGGTTTTAAATTCTTTAATTTCTCTGTAATATAGGTCATATGATAGATAATAACTTAATTGTTAGAGACTGATCAAGACCCTTGACAAAGAAAAAAATCCTTAAAAACTTAATTCACTATATTGAACTTATAAACTCATTGCCTCAATACATTAGGCTTATGATAATTTCTTGTGGGAATGCACCTATCACTGTATTAAGATGACTTTAATTCTTTAGGATAAATACTGAGGAGTCGTATAGCTGGGTCATATCATGGTTCTATGCCTAGTCTTTCAAAGTATGTTTTAAATTTTACATGTGAGTATATATGTATGTCATGGAAATGTTTTTGTTTCATTCATAGGCTCTGAAGACAGGAGTCCCAAAAAGAGATTCACTGAGGTGCAAAAAGAAAGACGAGAACAGGCACAGCGAACTGTTTTAATTCATTGCCCAAATAAAATCAGTGAAAAAAAGTTTCTCAAGTATTTATCCCAACATGGACCTATTAATAATCACTTCTTCTATGAGAGCTTTGTACGTATTTGAAAAACAGTCTAATTTAATGTTCATGCTTTTGAAAGGTGGATATTTTTTCTTGTTGACTTTGTAATATGGTACAGTTAGATTTTCTTTTTATGTCCTACATCTTTCCTCATTTAAGTTTTTTAATTAGGTTTTTCTTTTGACATAAGAATAAAAATTCATAACAGCAGCATTTTAGAATTATAAATAATATTTGAATAATTGCTTATTTGCATACTTTTGATAATTTAATATGCTACATAAAGTGCAATGGGAGGGGATCTTTGTTTTACCTTTTAATTTTCAATTTCAGCATTCTTTAAAGTTTCTCTTAACTGATAATCTTTGTTTTCTTAATCTATTTGTAATGAGCAAAACAAATGCTCATGTTAGAATCATATCATTTATAGATTTTAAAATGTAGTTTTTATAGCATTATGATAATTATTTTAAAGATACTATATTAAACATATCATCCTGAAATGTGTTCTGTTTGTTTTTCTTTTTTTTTTGTATTTTTGGTATAGGGCCTCTATGCTGTTGTAGAATTTTGCCAAAAAGAAAGTATACATTCACTGAAGAATGGAACTCACACTCCGAGCATGGTCACAGAGGCTGCAATTCCATTCAGGTCACGTTTCTTCAATTTAAAGCTAAAGAATCCATCAAACCAGACTTCTGAACGGCCATATATACAGTCAAGTAATCAGTTGCCTCCTTCGAGCAAGAAGCTTTTTGAATTACTTTGTAATGCAGAAAGTGTAAGTTTATAGGTATACTTTAAAAATATTTATGACATTATTATAGAAATTCTTAGAAAATATGCGCACTGTAGTATCGTTTAATGGATATAGAGCTTCAGTTTTACAAGATGGAAAGGGTTGTGGAGATGGATGGTGGGATGGATTCATATGCACAACATGAAGAAGAGTTTTCTTCCATTTCTAGCTTTCTAGGAATTTCATCAAGGTTCAACACATCAAGTAAATGTCAGGTTTTTCACTTCAGATTATTTATCTTGATAATTGGTATATGATCTTGAGATCATACAGTTTTTCTCCTTAGGTCTTTTCACAGAGTAAACCTAAACTTAAAGTATATTTTTAAAAAAATGCATTAGTATTATTTTTTTGCCAATTTTTTACAGCTTTACTGTTAATAAATTGGATTATATAAAAAATTAAAACTACAGAATATGTTGAGTGAAGAGTGAAAGTAATCCTCCATTCCACACCCCATGCCCTCTTGTACTCCTCAGAGGTAATCAGTCTTCCAAAATTTTGGGCCTTTTTGGATGATTCAAATTTTCTTTCTGTTTTCAACATAATGAACGTTGTGGCCAGTGGATGATTAATATTTATTTCTTGACTATCGTAGTTTTTGTCTTTATCCTCTGTGTTTGTAAAACTAAACATAATGGGGGGCTTGCAAACAAGTAGTTTTAATAATGAATATTAATTGTACTTGGTATTATGTAAATTTTTAAAGTGCTTATTTCTAGTTTTGTCTCTTTTCTTTGTCCTAATATTGTTTTATCTTGATTTTTCTTAGACTCTTGAACTTTTAGCTAGTTTTGTAGCCCTTAGAAAGAATCAGTTCATGGTTTTATTTATCAAAGTACTGCCATTTTTGGGGTTGATTTTCTAACTTTTGAATTCTGTATATATTTACTTTCATTTTTTTTTTTGAGTTGAATGTTTAGTTCAGTTATTTTCAATATTGTTTTTAAGTAAGGGAATTTGAAGTTTTGATTTTTTTTCTTTTTTACTTTAAATACTAAAACGTAGCACACAATTTCAAAGTCTGTTTATTTTAACACCAATCTTCTGGTGAATATACAGGTTGTTTATAGATATGTAAGCCTTGAGTTTTTATGACTTGAGTTGTTGGTTGCTTCTGATGTTTCTTGCTCTTTAATATTGGTTTCTTAGTTTTGTGATTGTTTTGACCTCTTCTGGAGCACTTTGCTTACTTTTTGTTTTCCTAAAACAGCTTTCTACTCATTTCTTGCAAAAAAGTAGTTTTAATTTTAGTCAGCTTTTATTTTGCTAGTGTTTTCAGTGCTTTTTTAAAATTTGTTTTTTTTTTTTTAAATCTACTTTTAAGACTGAAAGAAAAAAAGTGTATTTTTAAGGTAGGTCTCTAAAGTCTTTAGAAGTAAAATGACAATTATTTATATGACCTGTACATTTTCTATATTTTGTGCGTTTTGTTTTGGCCAGCTAGATAGATGATCAGTTAAACACTCTCCTGAAGGAATTCCAGCTAACAGAGGAAAACACCAGGCTCCGGTACCTCACCTGTTCTCTTATTGAGGACATTGCGGCTGCATATTTTCCAGACTGTACAGTCAGACCATTTGGCTCTTCAGTGAACACTTTTGGGAAATTGGGATGTGATTTGGACATGTTTTTGGATTTAGATGAAATTGGAAAACTCAGCACTCATAAGGTAATTGTATTTTTTTTTTTCATTACCATAATCATTTAAAGTTAGGAAATTAGAAAAGTGAAATCTTTGGACCTAATAAAATTTTAACTTTATTTTTAAACAGTAACATTGTGATTAAAGAATATGGTTTATTTGCTATTGATTCTTAGGAATTGTAAAGTCTTTGTATTCATTTTATATAGGGAATCACTTATTGTGACTATTCTGTGCATAATTTGTTTTTTTAAAAAAAGCATTCTTTTCAATGGTGCATAAGTTTTTCCTTTAGGTAAGGTTGCTTATGTTACATTACATCTTAACTAATATTTTTATCTGATCTTCCTATTGAAATATTTTTAAATCTCATTTTTGCCTAACTTTTTCTTGATTGTTTTTATTTTTATTTTATTCAAAGGCTTTGTTAGCTACATTTAGGCAGAGATATGTGATTATATCAATTGAATTGTTTCTTCATATTTTCATTAAATTATGTCTTTTCAACTTTATAAATGCTTTTTTCTTAAATTGTTTTGTTATTAAGATGGTCATTTGCTATTTGCCTCATGTATTTTTTTTCTTTAGTTTTAGCCTTTATTGTCAACTTTGGAGTGCTTCTTATAAATAGTAGGATACTTAAGATTTTTTGAAAATATGTGCTTAAGAGTTTTTTGAGATACATGCTAATTAAAGATCATAATAGCTTTGCTAATGGGAACATTAGCAATAAAATACAGTGTAGAAATTAATGACTCTTAAATTCATCCTGTTCTTAAAATCTTTCTTTGTATATTAGTGAACCCTTCTGTTGCTTCTTGTTGCTTATCTTTTTTGGCACTCCACTTTGTTGTTTAACTCTTTGTGTACTTCTTCTTTATTCTTTGGCCTAAATTGCGAGGAGTCAGGTAGAGTGCGTTAGACTTTTTGGTATGTCTACAGCACTGTGTATGCTACCCTATGTGCAACAGTTAGCAAACTGATTATTTGCTGATAAATAAATGAAGGTTATTTACTAAGCAGATTTTAGATTTAACCATTTTTTTCAATGCATGAGAGATGAGTACATGTGAAATATGTCATTTAACAATCATTTTAGCATAAAATCTTAAGCTAAAATCTGGCTTTTATTTTTCCTTCAGCCTTGCATTTTCTAGTAGGGCTCTGGCTCCTAAAGGACTTATGTAATAGAAGTAAAAATTAATGGCTGAGTCCTATTTTCTGTTGTGTAGATGAGTGGTATGTGCAATGTGCCTCTTTATTAGATTATCTGCATTTAGGTAGCGTTAGAGGAATAGCAAATATTAGTAGGAATTATCTATTGAGTTAACTGTTCCTTTTTTTTGTTTTTTTTAAATTTGTTTCAATTAGTTACACATGACAGTACAATTACCTTGACATATCATACATTTGAATCAAATGGGATATAATTTCTCATTTTTCTGAGTGTACAAGTTGCAGAATCATATTGGTCATGTAGTCACATATATACTATCCTTCCTGTCCCCTCATCTCCTCCCCTCCCCTCCCATCCCATCACTTCTCTATACCTAATCTAAGGTAACGCTATTCTCTTTTTTTTTTTCCTCACATCTTCATACATGTGTTTCATATAACAATGAGGGTCTCCTTCCACCATCCATGCGAGTTAACTGTTTCTAAAAAATTTTTCTCTCTCAAATAAGTAAAAAATTGAAAAACTTCTTAATTGAAGAATAGTTTTTGAGAGTATTCTACTTTTGCTCATTATAGTTTTTTTTTTTTCATCATCTACATCTTTACAATTGCATTGTTTTATTTCTGTGCACGGTCAATTTATTTAGTTACCCCATGTGGTTCTTGTTCTCTTGCTCTTTGTCAATCAGATTAGGCTGACTTATGCTTTAGTAATAAATAACCCCCAAATCTCAGTGACTTAACCACATTGACCGTTAACCTCTTGCTGTCACTGTATGTACAAAGCAGGTTAACAGTGGCATTGTAGATGTTGTAGTCTCCCAAGCTCTCAGACTGACCTGTGTTTCATCTTGGCTCTTTAAGCTTCTGCCTAGAAGTGACAAATGAAGCCTCTGCTAACATTTTTTTTTGCCAAAGCAAAACACATGACAGTGCTTAACCTTAGAGGTACAGGAATTTGATATCCTACCAAATGCCAGAAAAGTGATAACAGAGTCTTTGGTGAACAACATCATATTAGCTGTCAGGCACTGTTATTGTAGTTCATAATTCTCCAATTTTCTGTTTGTATTTCTGTTACTCAAATCTGTTTTTTTCTAGTATTATTTTCGCTTCTGTTACCTCAAAGATTTTATCCTTTCATTTATAGTATTTAATTTTGTAAAAGTCTAATTATCACTTTTCTTGGGAGTAAATCTAACCCTTCCTGTGCTTCGGAGCTTTTGAGGCCTATATTACTCCTCTATCATCAAGTATGATAGTCCACTCCCAATTAATGTTTTTTTACCATCTTGAGATGATTTGACCCAGATTGTTTTTTTTTCTTCTGGTCCTGTTTAATATTCATGGAAAATGTTTCTCTTTGTTTTCCTGTAAAGGCACCCCATACTTAATTTGCTGGTTGTTTTTGTTTGTCCTACTTTCCATTTAAATTTGTATGTTTTTGAATTTTAAAAATAGAGTGGATTAGGGAAAAAATATTAAAGATGTTAAACCAAAATGAAACACGTTTATAGGTGTTGTTTGTCTACATGTAATATTTGTATGTTTATTTAATCTATTTTTTCTGATTATAGAGTAGTAAATACAAAAACATATACTGTGATTATCTCTGCTGATCTAGTCATCTCCAGGAATAACTACTGTGAATTGTACAATGTGTTTTATTATGGGATTTTTTTTGTATATATAAGTGCTTTTTTAAAAAACAATACTAACTCTTATAATTTGTAGAGTATAATCTATAGATTGTAACTTTTTTTCCTGTTAATAGTGTCTTGAAATCCAGTCTACTACTGCAACAATGTCAGTGACTACATAGCATTGTTTTAAATGATTGTATCTTAATTAACTTAACCAGTCCTCTGTTAGACAATTAGGGTGCTATCTTCTCTTCTAACCTTTATTGTCAGTTATTTGTTAATGTTCCTTGGTTGTACACACAAAAAGAAGCTCAAGCTAGTTTAACTAAAACCCAGAGTCAGTAGTGTGGATGAGTCTTAGGAAAGTTCTGGAATATAAATATAAAATATAAACTAAAAAGAACTCATGAAGTATCTGTTTCTCTTCATATATTTGCTTCATTTATCTCTTTCTTTAACCCCCTTCACTCTACCCTCTCACTTCTGTTTATTTTCTTTACTTTTTCATGCTTGTGGTATAGAATATGTGCCCCAAAGCTTCAGAGTTACATATTTCAACTTCATGGTTGCCTCTCAGTCTTAGCTTTAATTTCTAGTATAGATCTCTGGGTGAATGCATGGTATGCTCTTACAATGCTTAGATTAGCTCTCTATGATTTGTCTACTCAGCTGAGAAGAATTGGGTAGATTTCCGTGATAAACATTGTCACGGACTTAATCCCTTTAGGGGAGTATGTTCTAGAAGAAGGGAAGCTTATTAAGATAGTTAGAGTTACCAAAAGGATTTACCACATGAACAATGCTTTAGAGAATGGACATCTTTGTGAATTGACTCATTTATGAAACTGTTTATTTAAAATAATTTCCTATATACATTCAGCATTTCAATAGATACTGACAATTTCAATAAAAAGTATGTCTGAGTTTACACAGCCACCAATATTATATTCATTTCCCTATACCTACCAGTGTTGGAAGTCAGCTTTTGACAGATTGTTAAATGAAAAATTTCATTGCTTATCTTTTTTTGCCCATTAACAATGGCATCTTCCCCTCCTTCATTTGTATGAACTCTTCATGAATTAGCCCTTTGTATGAAGTGTATTACTGCTTTGTTTTGTGTTTTATCTAGTTTTGAATGTATGCTTTATCTTAATATGTTATCAGTTTTTTATGTAATCATATTACTTCTTTTGTATAATTTGGAATTTAGTGTCATACTTAGAGAATCCTTTGCTATTGTAATATTTCATATCTTCTGCTACTTTATTGATGTACCTTTACATTTTAGTTTTTGATCCATGTTGAATTCAATTTGGTTTTAATACTAGGGATGTAGTCTATTTTTTAAAATGTCTTCTGGAGTCATTTGTAGAAGAGGGATTTTTCTCTACTACTTTATAGTTCATTTTATTCAACATCAAAAATTCCTATACATAATTGAGTCTATGTATATTATTTTCTTTTATACTCTTTTACTCTTGTAGGCTTATAATTTTAGCTATTAAAAAGTAATGGCTAACTGGGAGAGAGCAAATATATGTTCACTGAATTTATAGAATAAGTAGTTGTATGTATAGTATTGCTTTAGAAGTTAATTAGAAAAAGCCTGTGATTTTTCAAGTTAGTATTTTATATTCTGGAGAAACAAAAGGCGATTAAGGATATTTTAAGCCAGTTTTTGGCAGTGATTGAATGAAGACTTTTTATTTTATAGATTTGTTTCCTTTTTGCCAGATAAAATTTAGGGCAACCTTCTACAAGAAAAGTTTACAAATAAATTCCTTCTTACAAAAACCCCTTATTTACGGATTTTTTTTTTTTCTTATTTAGAACATAGGAAATTTTTTGGTGGAATTTCAAGTGAAAAATGTTCCTTCAGAAAGAATTGCAACTCAGAAGATCCTTTCTGTGATAGGAGAATGCCTTGACCACTTTGGCCCCAGTTGTGTGGGTGTACAAAAAATATTAAATGCTCGGTGTCCGCTTGTGAGATTCTCCCACCAGGCCTCTGGATTTCAGTGTGATTTGACTACTAACAATAGGTATGATCTCTTAAGTTATCATCTTAAATATGAACTTTGTAAGTTATTAGTTTAGTTTTTTCATATACAGGAACAATGGCTTTGGATTCATTAGGACATACTTCAGTACTAATTTTTTAAAAATTCAGAGATTGAAAAGTAGGAAATCTTTTGTGTTATACCTATTGATTATTTGGCGTTCCTGAACAAAGTATTGCATTAAAATGTCAGCTTACCTAACATCGTAGGAGAAGATCTATATTTCTTTGTTCTAACTGTATAGCCTGATGCTGCAAAATGTACCTATTTATAGCATAAGTCTTCATAAGTATACTTAGAAATAAAGTATCACCTTGAGTTTGACCTCTGAATTGCTTCTGGTTTTGTGTACTAAACAAATATGGTTTATGCTATTGGGTCAAAAAGAGTTCTATATAGCTTAAGACTTCTGCAGGATGTTTACTTAAAAAAAAGAAAAAAGTGAGATGGGAATGACGATTTCTTTTTATATAATGATTACTTTTCCTAAGTTGGAAATAGGGAAAACTTCTCAATTCAGGAGTTTATTTCTTAACTCTAGTAGTCTCATTGGATGAGTTTGATTTGAATATACTGTATATTTATTACATGAATAATCATAACTGAAAGTAGATGCAGAAAATTCAGTCTAGAGCAGTTTAGATTAAACTCAAGTGTTCACTAACAAATTAAAGCGAAATATAAGTATTTCTGAATTTCTTGCAAGTAGTCCACAGAACAAAGTCTTTTGGTTTCTTGCCACTATCCCCCCCTCCTTTTTCCCCCACTAGTGGAGAGTGAACCCAGGGTTGCTTTACCATTGAGCTACATCCCCAGTCCTGTTTTGTTTTTGAGACAGTGGCTTCCTAAATTGCTAAGGCTGACCTTGAACTTGTCATCTTCCTACTTCAGCTTTGTGAGTTGGTGGGGGTTATAGGCATTCTATATTGCCAAATTTTAATATAATAATTAAATGTCTGTTTTTTGTCTTATATATTTTCTTTATAGTATGTAAAATGACATGTCTTTTTGTAAGTTTGTTGATGTAGGTTTTTAAGAACTAGTCTTATACTTTCTTCATGGTTTAATATGCTTGCATTGTTTATACCAGATATTGTACACTATTGATATTTGTTTTTCAGCTTACTTTAGCTGTATTTACACATAGAAAACAATCACCATGTTTTTCTAATTTGCTATTTCTTCTATTTTAAATTCAGATGTAAATGCTGTAATGGTACTTTAGTGACAGTTTAAGATGATACTCTTAAGTGATTTTGTGCCCTCTGTATGTTCTTTGAGAAATTACAAGATACATTTTGATCAGTAAGAACTTAATTTTAAAATATTTCTGATTAATAATTCTTCAGATTTGTATTTTAAAATTTTGACTAGGAAACTTACTGAAAATAGAGTTTGAGTTTGGTTACTTTTTCTTTTTTCTTTCTTTCTTTTTTTTTTTTTTTTTGGTACAAGGATTTGAACCCAAGAGCACTTAACCTCTAAGCCACATCTCCAGCCCTTTTTATTTTTTGAGATAGGATCTCACTGAGTTGCTTAGGGCCTTGCTAAGTTTCTGAGGCTGGCCTTGAACTTGCAATCTTCTCTCCTCAGCCTCCAGAGTCACTGGCATTACAGGCATGCTCCATCACACCCAGCTTGAGTTTGGTTTCTTAACAGGCATTTTATCTTCAGAGAGGTTTGATTTTTATAAACATTGGAATTTATTCGGGCTGTTTTAGAAATTATAAGAATTTTAAGATTAAATACTTACAGAATGTTTTTCTCTGTGTATGGACTAATTTTTCTGCCAAAGGACTGAATAAACTAGGTGTGATGTGTCTATGTCTTTATTGATGGTTATAAAGTTAATTAAATAATGTTTAGAAACTTTGATTTTAAAATTCTGAGTTTTTGAGTAGAAGATACATGGACAAATTCACATAAATACAGTTATTTCATAACATAAAGGCACCATAAACATACATTGGGAAAAAAGATAGCCTGTCAACAAATGATACTGGGAAAACTGGAAATCCATATGTAGCAGAATGAAATTAAATCCCAATCTCTCACCCTGCCCAAAACTCAACTCAAAGGGGATCAAGGACCTAGGCATTAGACAGAGACCCTGTGACTACTAGAAAAAAGTAGGCCCAATTTCCATCATATTGTCTTAGGAATCAAATTCTTCAACAAGACTCCTGAAGCGCAAGAACTAAAATCAAGAGTCAATAAATGGGATGGTATTAAACTAAAAAGCTTCTTCATGACAAAGGAAACAGTCAAGAGCATGAAGAGAAAGCCTACAAAATAGGAGAAAATCTTTGAAACCTGCACCTCAGATAGACCATTAATCTCCAGAATATATGAAGAACTCAAAAACTTAGCACCAAAAAAACAAAAACAACAACAACAACAACAAAAAAAAAAACATCCAAATAACCCAATCAATAAATAGGCTAAGGAACTCAACAACAAACACTTCACAGAAGAAGAAATATGAATGGTCAACAAATATGTGAAAAAGTGTTCAACATCACTAGCAATTAGAGCAATGTAAATTAAAACTACACTGAATGAGATTCCATCTCACTTTAGTCAGAACAGCAATTACCAAGAGTATAAGTAACAATAAATGTTGGCAAGGAAGTGGGGAAAAAGATACATTCATACATTGCTGGTGGAACTGCAAGTGGTGTAGTCACTCTGGAAAGCAGTATGGAGACTCAGAAAAGTTGGAATGGAACCACCATTTGACCCATCTATCCCACTCCTGGCATATACCCAAAGGAATTAAAGTCAACATACTTTTGTGATATGGCCACATCAATGTTCACAGCAGCTCACTTCATAATTTTAAGCTATGGAATCAACCTAAATGCCCTTTAATAGATGAATGGATAAAGAAATTGTGGTATATATACACAATGGAATAGTAATGTTACTCAGCCATAAAGAAGAATGAAATTAGGGCATTTGCTGGTAGATGGATGGAACTGGAGACTGTCATGCTAAGCAAGATAAGCCAGTCCCAGAAAACCAAAGGCTCTGATGTGCAGATGCTAACATTCAATAAAGGATGGGGTTGAGGAGAATAGAAGTTCATTGGATTAGACAAAGGGGAATGAAGAGAATGGAGTGGGGATAGGAATAGGAAAAACAGTGGAATGAATGGGATATAACTTTCCTATGTTCATATGTGAATACATGATAATGTATAACTCTACACCATGTACAACCACAAGAATGGGAAGTTATACTCCATGTGTGTATAATATGTCACAGTATATTCTACTGTCATGTATATCTAAAAAGAACAAATAAAAAGAAAAACATTAAAATTCTGAGTTTTAAAATTTCATTGTGATTGTCAGTTTTTAAAAGGATATTTTAATGGTAATAAGTGTATTTGATATTAGACCATTTACATTGAATTTTATGTTGCTGATATCTAATGCTTCTGATTATTTCATCATGGTGTTCTCAGTACATTCAGATGTAGTAAGATATTTAGATAATTTCCCATTTGTATGTTTACTTGAAACTTGGATAGTAACTTTGGGGGCTGAAAATTCTTCTTGTTTTCTTTTTTGAAGGATTGCCTTGAAAAGTTCTGAACTCCTTTATATCTATGGTGCCTTGGATTCAAGAGTAAGAGCCTTGGTGTTCAGTGTGCGATGTTGGGCTCGAGCACATTCCTTAACGACTAGTATTCCTGGTGCTTGGATTACAAATTTCTCTCTTACAATGATGGTCATCTTTTTTCTCCAGCAAAGATCACCCCCTATACTTCCAACACTAGATTCCCTAAAAACCCTAGCAGGTAAGACTACAAGCAGTCTTCTGTATTTTCTTTTTTGACATTATGAATGAAGTTAAATTGCCATGCATTATTAAAGCACTAAATATCTGTTTTTTTAGTCGCATAATGTTATCTTTAAATCCAAAAATTAAATTGTGGATCTGAAGGTTAAGTGATTTTTTTATTCTTTTTAATGGCCACCAGGGGTCATGAGAATATTTGATTTACAGAGCCAGGGCTTTTCCAAATTTTGAGAGTTCTATTTTATTTGTGTCAATTGGCTAGGTTGTTTACAACAGTTGTAATCAGAGCCTCTTCCTTAGTTGACTGAGTTTAAAAAAAAAAAAACATTTCCCAGATACAGCTTTTGATTGGAGCACAGTTTCTAGTCTCATGACATTTTATCTTAGTGTTTTTATTTACACTTGTTTTTCTGCCTGGAATGTCTCCTCTCATAATAAACGGTTTATTCTGTACTACCTTTCCATATTATCCAAATTAGAAGTAATCCCTTCCTGTGAACACTTTTAAGTGTTTGTATAGCTTGAAATTGGGCTTTTAAGAAAGCTGTGATAAGGGGCTGGGGATGTGGCTCAAGCGGTAGCATGCTTGCCTGGTGTGCATGCGGCCCGGGTTCGATCCTCAACACCACATACAAACAAAGATGTTGTGTCTGCTGAAAACTAAAAAAATAAACCTTAAAATTCTCTCTCTCTCTCTAAAAAAAAGAAGCTTTTCCTTCTAGTAGTTCATAGTTTTGGACTTCATATTCAAGTCTTTAATCACTTTTGAATTGATTTTTGTGTATAGCATGAGATAAGAATCCAATATACTTGTTCTG